TTTTTGAGACAGAGTCTCACTTTCTGTGGCTCAGGCTGGAGTGCAGCGCGGTGTGATCATGGCTCACTGCAGCCTTGATCTCCTGGGCTCAAGCGACCCTCCCATCTCAGCTTCCCAAGTAGCTGGGATCTCAGATACATGCCATCATGCCTAGCTAACTTTTTTTTTTTTTTTTTTTTTTATGTTTTTGTAGAGACAGTGTCTCCCTAGGTTGCCCAGACTTGTCTCCTACTCTTAGGCTCAAGCAATCCTCCCACATCGGCCTCCCAAAGTCTGGGATTACAGGTGTGAGACACAATGCCAAGTCCACATATTTTAAACTTTTACTTGACATACCAGACTTGTATAATCAGTAATAAATATGCCGATAAGTACTATTATTGAAAGTAATGGTCAGGCGCAGTGGCTCACACCTGTCATCCCAACACTTTGGGAGGACGCAGCAGGTGGATCACCTGACGTCTGGAGTTTTGAGAACAGCCTGGCCAACATGGAGAAACCCTGTCTCCACTAAAAATACAAAAATTAGCCCAGCGTAGTAGTGCATACCTATAGTCCCAGCAACTCTAGAAATTCAGGAGAATTGCTTGAACCTAGGAGGCAGAGGTTGCAGTGAGCCAAGATTGCACCACTGTATCCAGCCTGGGTGACAGAGAGAGACTCCATATCAAAAAAAAAAACAAAAGAGGCTGGGCACGGTGGCTCATGCCTGTAATCGCAGCACTTTGGGAGGCTGAGGTGGGTGGATTGCCTTAGCTCAGGAGTTTGAGACCAACCTGGCTAGCACAGCAAAATCTCGTCTCTACCTAAAAATGCAAAAAATTAGTTGGGTGTGGTGGTGTGCGCCTATAGTCCCAGCTACTCTGGAGGCTGAGGCAGGACAATCCTTTGAACCTGGGAGGCAGAGGATGCAATGAGCCAGAACCATGCCACAGTACTCCAGCCTCGGCAACAGAGTGAGACTGCATCACAAGCAAGCAAGCAAGCAACTATGTAGAAACTAGGCACATTAAAAAAATCTGAAAAAGGAAGGAAGGGAGGGAGGGAGAGACAGAGGGAGGGAAAAAGGGAGGGAGGGAAGGAAGGGGAAAAAGAAAAGATGCAGGGGAAAGCCAAGTCAGGCAATCTTTCCTGTGAAATTTGAGTTGTCCCCTTGCTATATGACAACCCTACGCCAAACAATAAAATCAAGAACCAACATGCTATTTCTCCCCCTGGATACACTCTGCCATATATACCATATGTGTCCCAGTGAACCCACTGCATGCTTCCCAGTGAACCCGTTGCAACCCCCCATCTTTCTCCTCTCCCATTCAATTCAAGGAAATGCAAGTGATTGAGACTAATAAGTATACATTTGAAAACCACTTTATACATTAAAAATAAATTACACTCACAAATAATTACTTACGCTACTGCATTTTAATCATCTGCTTCACTTTTCATCAACCTCACCAAATAAGGAGGTCTTGTTTTATTTGTCTTGAAATTTTAGCAACTTGTATACTGCCTACCACATGCATAGGCATTTTATGTATCTTTTTCAAATAAATGCACTGTAAGACATAGGTATTTTTAAAATACCATTTCTAAGTAAACGAATATGAGGCTATAATTTTGGCCTTTAGGAGAAACTACTAAATATGGTGTTAGTACCTTTACCTCAAAGCTGTATGTGTAACTCAAACATGTATAAAAGGATTGCTGCAATGATTACTCTATCACAGCCAACAAGTAAGTGAGATAGCTACTAGGAACTTAATCACTACTCTCTTCATACAGAATTTAAATAGCAGTGATTTTTTAATTATTGCGTTTTTGTACTGTACATTGGGAAATGGATCAAAAGTTATTAAACAACTCAGTACAAGATTTGTTTTCTTTATAAGATCTGAAAAACGTACCAAAAAATACAGTGTAGGAATATGCACAATGAAGCCTCTTCTTTGCTGTCTGCTAGCAAATACCTTGGTTCCATATTACAGAAAAGAACCAAGACGTACAACTTGGTTCTCCTCCAGAGATGCTAAAGGTATAGAGTAGTATGATTCTCTTCTCTGTTGACAACAGGGGGACTTACAAGATTGCAGATTTTTTAATCTATCTATCTATCTATCTATCTATCTATCTATCTAGACTCATACGATTTCAGATTTTTAATTTATTCATCTACCTACTTACCTGCCTGCCCGCCTACCTTCCTTCCTTCCTTCCTACTTACCCGTCTGTCTGTCTGTCTGTCCGTCCGTCTATCCATTTAAGACAGGGTCTCACTCAGTCACTCAGGATGGAACACAGTGGCATGATCACAAGTAGCTGGGACTACGGGTGCATGCCATCATGCCTCGCTAATTTCTGTATTTTTGAAGAGATGGGGTTTCACCATGTTCTCAGGCTGGTCTCAAACTCCTGGATTCAAGCAATCTGCCTGCTTTAGCTTCCCAAAGTGCTGGGATTACAGGCATGAGCCACTGTGCCAGGCCAGATCTCAGATTTTAAAAATTTGCCTAGTTACTGCATAGATTCAATAACTATATAGCTATAACCACAAGTATTTTTCCATAAATCAATGGGCATCTAGTCTTCAAATTATTTAACTTCTTCTAAAACATTCTCCTTCTTTCACTTGAAAAATTAAAGAGTCACAAATTGAACTACATTTTAAAAAAAGAGACAACAGCAAATGTACATCATATGTAAGACATGGAAACTTGGAGATAATAGCACAATTTATTGGGCTGCTGATCTTAGAAACTATGTAGACACCAAGAAGCCAAAACATGAAAGGAAATGGCTCCAAGGAAGTCAATGGCAGGGATTTTAGTGGGTGACTTAACAACTCAATTGCTAAGGACTTTTTGAGACCTACTATAATTGGTTAAACCTTGATTACAAAATCAGATTACAGACTGTTTTATATTTCACTACAAAACTTTGGGGGCATGTATATCAATCACTGGATGGGGTAGTTGAGGCTTCCAACACTGTCATTAACTGAATTGTTCTGCTAAAAAGGAAAACTAAATACCCTTCCAGGAGGCCTGGATTTCATTGCTTTTAATTTAGGCAAACTTTAGTTAAAAATGCACAAAGGAAACACTGCCTGGGGAGTCCAGGAAAGCTTTCTAGAAACAAGCCAAGTGCTTGAAGACAGGCAGGGGCTCCTGTATAGAGAGGGAATAACAGGATGACTGACAGCCCTCAACCCTCTCCACATCCCAGTACAATGTGACATCACTCCACATTTTTGGACCTCAGTTTCCTCATCTGTAAAGCAAGAGGGGCTGGACTAGTCAAGTTCCTATCAATTCTGAAATACTATTTTATGACTTTAGCAGGATATTTCTATCTTGCCCACAAATAAAATACACTAAGGAAAGAGCTCCTTCAGTGACACCTTTTTTGCTCACCACCTTTGATGTGTCTTAGAAGCAGAAGCAGATGCTTCTATGATTGTTTCTCATGGATTCCCATGGGCTTTGCACGTTACAGTGGAACTACAAATGGTGACACCACTACACACATACTCCCAAAGCTTACTGGGGCTACTCTGAAAAGGGATTTGAAAAACACAAGGTTTCTCAACACATGTAAATCATAATATTAAAATAATGTACATGGGCTGGGCATGGTAAATCATGCCTGTAATCCCAGCACTTTAGGAGGCCGAAGTGGGCAGATCCCGAGGTCAAGAGATCAAGACCATCCTGACCAACATAGTGAAACTCCGTCTCTACTAAAATACAAAAATTAGCTGCGTGTGGTGGCACGCGCCTGTAGTCCCAGCTACTTGGGAGGCTGAGGCAGGAGAATTGCTTGAACCCAGCAGGCAGGGGTTGAAGTAAGACAAGATCGCGACACTGCACTCCAGCCTGGCGCCTGGCGACAGAACAAGACTGCCTAAAAAAAAAAAAAAAAAAAAAAAATATATATATATATATAGTATACATGAGTTTTCCTACCATTTACCAAGAAAAGCCTTATATTTCCACAGTATCTACTTGTAAATGGCTTAAGGCCCTCACACAGATGACAGTTAACTTTAATATAAAGAAATGAATAGTAGATTACAGAGGGTCCTAATCAAGCCTCTCTGGGAGCCCTATAAATTTAGATTTCTTTATTTGATCTATGCTGAGATTAAACTTAAGAGAATGCAGAATTAACTCAATTTCCGTGTATCTAAATAATGTTTTCTCCAATTATGCTGGGTTATTTTTAAGAGTTTCTCATTCATTCGATAATATGCTTAATGCTATGATCAAACATCACAATGGTTAACAAGTGCTGACTTTTTTTTGAGACGAGGTCCTGATCTATTGCCCAGGCTGGAGTGCAGTGGCATGATCACACTCGCTGCAGCCTCCAACTCCCTGACCCAAGCAATCCTCTCACCTCTGATTCCTGAGTATCTGGGACTACAGGCACACACCTCCATGCCCAGCTAATTTAAATTTTTTTTTTTTTTAAGATGGGAGTCCATGGCCACGTGCAGTGGCTAACACCTGTAATCCCAGCACTTTGGGAGGCCGAGGTGGGCAGGCCACAAGTTCAAGAGATCGAGACCATCCTGGCCAACATGGTCAAATCCCATCTTTACTAAAAATATAAAAATAAGCTGGGCATGGTGATGCATGCCTGTAGTCCCAGCTACTCAGGAGGCTGAGGCAGGAGAATTGCTTGAACCTGGAAGGCAGAGGTTGCAGTTAGCCGACATAGTGCCACTGCACTCCAGCCTGGCGGCAGAACAAGACTGTCTCAAAAAAAAAAAAAAAGATGGGGTCTTGCTTTGTTGCCAAGGCTGGTCTCTTAAACTTATGGCTTCATGTGTCCTCCTGCCTCAGTCTCCCAAGCTGCTGGGATCACATACATAAGCCATGGCACCTGGCACAGTTGCTAGGTACTATTCCACTTTACTTAGAACCCCACCATCACCACAAGCCACACCTGAGGAAACAGAGGCACAAAGAGATGAAGTCACAAAGCCAGAATCTGCACCCTGTGTTCTAACCCCACAACTCATTTGTATCAACTCTGGATGGCAAACCTATCTAGCACCTGACACCATGCTGGGTGATCAAAGACGATTATGACAAGCACTTGATTTATAGGCACCAAACACATAAAAAATAATTACAACATGATAATGTATGCTGTAACAGAGACCTTTAAAAATTACCATGGAAACAGGAAGAGCAAGAGTTTGCCAGGGGAGTTCAGCGAGGCTTCCACTGGATCTGGGTGCTGAAAGACTAGCAGGCATTCCTGGGGTGGGGGAAGAATGGATGGGCATTCCACGTAAAGAACAAGATGTGCTGAGGTGCATAAAAGTGAGTGAACTCGGGGAATTCAGCGTGGCAGTAGGAGAGATGGGGAAGAGACAGCACTGCGAAGATGTGACAGGCTAGCTACCTGAACTCCTTTCTACATCAATGCCCATTAGCTGAGAGTGGCCAGGAAAGCAGGCCTTTACACTTAGCTCCAGAGTGATCATCTGATGGAGCCGCAGTGGGTACTGAGTTCTTAAGTCTTTCAAATGCAAATGATGCTGGGGTACAAACAAGACTGTAAGAACAGTAGCTGAATTCACCTATTTGCTGAATTTTCAAGCCAGGACCCCATGCTGAAGAGGGCACACAGAAGGAGAGGTCAACCAGGCATGGTGGCTCATGCCTATAATCCCAGCACTTTGGGAAGTCAAAGCAGGAGGATCGCATGAGCCCTAGGAGTTTGAGACCAGCCTGGGCAACAAAGGGAGACACCTTCTCAAGAAATAAAAAAAGAAGGGGAGGAGCAGTAAACAAGTTCTGATGTTGAATTGCCATACACTCTCAAGCCTAGGTAAGTGGCCCTTAAAAAACCATTAAGAAAACATTGTGCAGTGGCTCACACCTCTAATCCCAGCACTTTGGGAGGCCGAGGTGGGCAGATCACGAGGTCAGGCGTTCAAGACCAGCCTGGCTAACATGGTGAAACCCCATTTCTACTAATTACAAAAATTAGCTGGGCATGGTGGTATGTGCCTGTAATCCCAGCTACTTGGGAGGCTGAGGCAGGAGAATTGCTTGAACTGGGTCCTGGGAGGCAGAGGTTGCAGTGAGCTGAGATCGAGACATAGCACTCCAGCCTGGGCTACAGAGCCATCTCAAAAACAAAACTGTGTGTGTGTGTGTGTGTGTTCTAGGAAGGGTACCCATAAAGGCTTTACCAGACTCTCAAAGCGATCAACAATCTCCCAAAACATTAACAAACACTGCTTTCAAGCAAGCTGGGAACCAGACCTCCAGGCAACCTCAACCACCTGGAGAAACCCTATCACACACTAAGCAAAAAAAAAAAAAAAATCACTGCAAGAAAAGAAAACTGAGAAAGTAAATGCCTCCCTCGCTCGCTCCCTTGACTTTTAGAAACTATGACAAACACTTTAACCTCAGACTGTTCAAAGCCTTTAAGATCAGAGATAATCATGTTTGCCTAACTTTATTCAGGTGCTATTACGCAAGCCTACTACCTATTCAGGACCCCAAATGTTTATGATCTGCCGATAAGGTATTCATTCACCCTTCAATTTGTAATCTAATTCTCCTAAGAAAAGCCCCCCCCCCCGCCCCCGTCTAAATAGTGAAAACAGTAGGAAAATGCAGGAAGCTGGATCCACGAGCCAGTACTTAATTAACTTCTCTAAACTAATATTTAAAAGAAACCTTAAAAATGCAAGCACACTTCAGTGAAACTCACTTTAATTTTCTACCACAAGATTAAAAGGGTGATTGGCCCCTGAGGAGGAAAATAATCACGATGGAGTCTAAAGACAAGAAACCTTATTTACAGATGGGCAATTTGGCCCCCTGGTGGGACATGAACATTGGACCAGCATCTGTCAACATCCTCACATCTTTCAGCACCAGCACTGAACTCCACACTGCGTCTTTAAAGCAGAGAACAAGTCAAGGGGCTGTAAGTAACTTTTCAGGAAATAGAGAAGCCTTCAGGCCCTCTCTGGGCACAATGGGAAGCAACAGAGTGGTGGTTAAGAACACCACCATTGGCCAGGCACGGTGGCTCACGCCTGTAATCCAAGGCGAGTAGATCACCTGATTGGGAGTTTGAGACCAGCCTGACCAATATGGAGAAATCCCATCTCTACTAAAAATACAAAAATTAGCCAGACGTGGTAGCACATGCCTGTAATCCCAGTTATTTGGGAGGCTGAGGCAGGAGAATCACTTGAACCCAGGAGGTGGAGGTTGCGGTGAGCCAAGATCATGCCTCTGCACTCCAGCCTGGGCAACAAAAGAAAAACTTCATCTCAAAAAAAAAAAAAAAGAAAAGAAATCAAAATTATTCTACATTTCAAATACACACATATAAAATACATACTTAAATCATAGATACAGAGAATAGGCAGAGAGTACTCATGCTGTATACATTTCAATATATTAAGGAACATAGCCTTAGCTTTCTGTAAAAATAGTAATAATAGAATAAATGACTATAATCTCAGCACTTTCAGAGGCCAAGGCAGGAGGATCACTTTAGTCTAGGAGTTTGAGACCAGCCTGGGCAACATAGTGAGACTTTGTCTCTACAAAAAATATCGAAAATTAGCCAGGTGTGGTAGTGCACCCCTGTAGACCCAGCTACTTGAGAGGCTGAGGTGAGAAGACTGCTTGAGTCTGGGAGGCTGAGGCTGCGGTGAGCTGAAATAGTGCCATTGCACTCCAGCCTGGGTGGATGGCAGAGTGAAACCCTGTCTCTAAATAAATAAATGGAATAAAAAGTTATTATTTAATAATGGGCTAATGCTAAATGTGTGTGTGTGTACCCAAGAAAATAAAATACAGGGGTGTCAAAAACCTTGGAAATACAACAGCCATGTTTCAAAGGACTGGAGCACAAAAATGTAATTGTCACAGAGCACTGCTTTTACCATGCTCTAAAGGTTACTATGTGTAATAGTAAGAACCTTCTTTCTAGATCAAATTCTGTACCAGACACCGTGTCACATTTTACACATCATACCTCCTTTAATCCTCACAACTCCATGAAGCAGGCATTATTCTCCTCATTCTCTTCTTACAACAGATGAAAAAACTAAGGTCTAGAGAGGTTAAAGGTCACCCAGACAGACAAATGGAGCAGAGTACAAACCTAGTTTTGAATCCAATATAACCATGCACCCTTAGTAACTGATTTATAATTAAGTCTCCAATGTCACAGAAGCTGGGCCTATTGACCAATTGCTCCATAACCTGTCCTCATTTCATGTCTCAATGATACCCCTTTTCAAATACTAATAATACTGATAGCAACTTTCTAATTGTTGAGCACCTATTTACATTCTTTTGAGGCATGCTCTCTAATTATCACTACCAGCCATATGCAACTCTATGCTGTGGATTTTGTTATTCCCAATTTACTCAAGAAGAACTGGCTTCAAAGAAAGTAAATAACTTGCCCAAGACAGCACAGCTAGTAAGAACCAGGTTAGGAGACCAGGATGTCAAACTTAACCCTGGCTGACCTAAAGCTCATGCACTACAAGACATAAAAGCCCATCCAAGGCTCAGCGCAGTGGCTCACACCTGTTCCCAGCACTTTGGAAGACCAAGGAGGGCGGATTGCTTGAGGTCAGGAGTTAGAGACCAGCTTGGCCAATATGGTGAAACCCCATCTCTACAAAAAATTAGCCAGGTGTGGTGGCATGCATCAGTAGTCCCAGCTACTTAGGAGGTTGAGGCACGAGAATCCCTTGAACCCAGGAGGTGGAGGTTGCAGTGAGCCGAGATCACACCACTGCATTCCAGCTTGGGCGGCAGAGCGAGACTCTGTCTCAAAACGAAAAAGAAAGAAAAAAGACCATCAAAAATTTTGGAAAAGAAAGCCAGTTTAAACCTCTGCACCACCCTTCCTTTCTTCCTCAGAGTCCTTCTCTCTTCACAAGGGACCCATGGAACTACCTGTCTCTGAAAAACTAAACTAAGATTTCCTATTTCCATGAGATCTTCCCCTTTCCACCCCCAGCCCTCAACTTCCTCCCCATCATCCTGCAGATTGTTTGGTCCTGAGACACAAGCAAGAATAAAGAACTAAAAGAGAGGAAAGAAGATATGGATGGGAAGTGGCTGTTAACAGATTGCCCCTGAAGCCCCTGGTAGTCCCCCCCCACCCCGCCCCACTAGAGTGCAAGTGCAGGCCTAACTCAGGCTTTGCCAGGCCTTCCCCTTCCCAGCCCAGCCCTCACTGTACCCTCAGAGGTAGCTAGGCAACCAGGCCCTGCATACACAAAGAGGAAAGAGGTGCCAAGCCCTGCCAGACAGGTCTTCAAACGAAAGCAGAGCTGGTGACCTATAAATATCCACAAGGTGCCGGAACACATGAACAAAGAGATAAGGGACAGATATACAGATGTTTGAGAGTCTGCATCTCCAGTCGGAGTAAGAATAAAAAGAGCCCTGGTGAGGCACTGGTAGACAGAGAACTGGGAGGCGAAGCTGGGAAACCAGATAACAAAACCCATGGCGATTCAGAACCCAGAGTAAACAGGCTGGAAGCGAGGCTGAGCAGCTCTCCTACATAAGGCATGGACTTTGCAGCGTACATTTCAATTGCTTTTGGAGACCTGGAGCCAGGTCCTGGGTCTCAACTCTACTTGGGATAGCTGCAATGAACATGAATGATGGCTACAAAATGAACCTACATCAGAAAGGGACTTACTGCAATCATAGAATTCCTTGCTTCACCGATTTGCCCAGCACATGTAGGAGATAGAGAGAAATATTGGTCAGGTGGATCACAAGGTCAAGAGTTCGAGACCAGCCTGGCCAACATAATGAAGCCCCATCTCTGCTACAAATACAAACATTAACAGGGCGTAGTGGTAGGGGGCACCTGTACTTTCAGCAACTTAGGAGGTTGAGGCAGGAGAATCACTTGAACCTGGGAGGTAGAGGTTGCAGTAGACCAAGACAGTGCCACTGCACTCCAGCCTTGGTGACCAAGTGAGACTGTCTCAAAAAACAAACAAACAAAAAACTATTTATTGCACTTTGGGAGGCTGAGGCAGGAGGATCACCCAAGGAGTTCGAGACCAGCCTGACCAACATGGAGAAACTCTGTCTCTACTAAAAATACAAAATTAGCCAGGCGTGGTAGCGAGTGCCTATAATCTCAGCTACTCAAGAGGCCAAGGCAGAAGAATCACTTGAACCCGGGAGGCGGAGGTTGTGGTGAGCCAAGATCATGCCATTGAATTCCAGCCTGAGCAACAAAAGCGAAACTCGGGGAGGGGAGGGGAGGGGAGGGGAGGAAGGGAGGGAAGGAGGGAGGGAGGGAGGGAGGGAGGGAGGGAGGGAGGGAGGGAGGGAGGAAGGAAGGAAGGAAGGAAGGAAGGAAGGAAAAGAAATGTTTATTGAAAAGTCAACTATGTCTCAGTAAAACACATCAATTCAACACCATAAATTATAAACTTGGGGTATTTTCTTTTTTAAAAAAAAACGTGCATTTGTTATGTATTTTTCCTATGACTTTTCTTGAGTGTGTTACCTGCATTTGGGTTTCAGAAGTACATTAGGTTCCTACAAAGGAGGTCCTACGGAACATTCTCATGCCTAAATGAAGCACAGATTTCTATGTAAAATAACAGTAGGCCAGGTGAGGTGGTTCACACCTGTAATCTCGGCACATTGGGAGGCTGAGGCGGGAGGACCGCTTAAGCCCAAGAGTTCAAGACAAGCCTGGGTAACAGCAAGACCTCCTCTCTATTATTAGGAAAATGTTGACGGCCGTGGTGGCTCAGGCCTGTAATCCCCACACTTTGAGAGGCTGAGGCAGGCAGACCACCTGAGGTCAAGAGTTCAAGACTAGCCTAGCCAACATGGCAAAACGCCGTCTCTACTAAAAATACTAAAATTAGCCAGGTGTGGTGGAGGGTGCCTGTCATTTCAGTTACTCAGGAAGCTGAGACAGGAGAATCACTTGAACCCAGGAGGCAGAGGTTGCAGTGAGCCATGATCGGGCCACGGCACTCCAGCCTGGGTGATAGAACAAGACTCTGTCTTTAAAAAAAAAAAAGAAAGAAAGAAAGAAAGAAAATTTAAAAAGGCAAGAGAAAGAAAAACAATGGTAGATAATCCTACCCATCCCAATCCCCTGCTGCTTTTAAGAACTTTTCCTCAATCTCCTACCTGGTCATTATCTTATCTCCATCGTGGCCATCAATGAGCCTTTTAAACCTTGTCTGTAATACTTCCCACCTAACCCATAAAGCATGTGAGGATATGACATTAAACTCGACACATAGTAGGTACCTAGAAAATTTGTAAAAAGTAATTGATGTGATACTTACTTTCAAATGTAGGAATACTAAATATGACATTTGAAAATGATGTCTGTACTTTAAGAAATTTTTAATAAGAAACACAAACACAACAGAAACACTACAGAGGATTTGTGGAAACATCACTAGAAAGAAATCAAGTCATTCCTGCATGTTCTCTAAGAAATTTACTTTAAAATGACTGTTGTACATTTGCCTGTCCAAAACTAAAGTTAAATTAGCCTGGTGGCTGCTGTCTGGTGATAATTTTCTTAGTGCCAGGAAGCTGGTGAGTAAGTGATTAAACATGTTTCCCCCCCACTTAGCTACACCCTAGATGCTATCAGGTTTGCTAACCAGAAGATTCTCCAGCTGACCAGCGCTCAGGCACTCACACATATTTTTTTTTTCTCTCTCTCTCTCCTCCCTAAGAAAACAAAATTTCCCAAGAGTAATTACATACAAATTCTAAATCTCCAATCCCTGTTCCTTTAAACTCATCATCACAATTCAGCACAAATAAATTTAAAGCATGGGAGGAAAATAAATCAAAATTAGCTATTTTCAGGACTTCAACGATAAGTATTTTAAAATTTTAGCAGATAATGTCACTAAAATACTAATTAACCTGTCCATTGATTCCAAGTTTCTAAACAATTCCTAACTACTGTTCCTAGATAGAGCCGGACTGTCTTCATCTTCCGCCCCGACTGACCCTTCACCTCTGAACTACTCTGCTGTAACAGCAAGTATTTACAGGAAAACACTACAACATGAAACACAAGGCTTGTCAGATTTGCATTCACATTTTCCTTTTCTCACTCTATTCAAGCTCTGCAAATGTCCAATAGGTTGATTCCTTCCATAAGTGATTTTCCCAAAAGATATTATCTTTCTAATTGGGAAATCAAGAAGCCTGTAGAAATCTACAACATGGCTAAAAGTTAGAATCACATGCACTCAATCCAGACACTGAGAAACACTTCCACTGACCTGCATGAAAAATGCCCACTCTAGCTCTGTGACCTTAAACCAGTAACTTCACCTCTCTGGACTTCAGTTTCATTGGTGATTTGTCTCTTTTAACTACAACATTTCAAAATGGGTTTTGATAACCACTGTGGAAAGTCCCCCCCAGAGTTCTTTTCTAATTTTTATTGGCTTTATGTATAAGTCCAGCTGAATTATAACTTAGAGAATAACTTGCCAAATTCTGTTTAAAGTATTCGGGAGTTTTTATCAGAAGTTCATTTAATGTTTAAATAAATCTGAAGAAAAGAGACAACTTTACAATATCCATCCACAGGAATACAGTCGGTATTTCCATTTACTCAGGTCTTTTCTTTCTTTCTTTTTTTTTTTTTTGAAACAGGTTCTTGCTCTTAACGTCCAGACTGAAGTATAGTGGTGTGATCACAGCCCACTGCAGCCTCGACCTCCCAGGCTCAAGTGATCCTCCCACCTCAGCCTCCAGAAAAACTGGAACTTCAGCCGCACGTCACCATGCCCAGTTAATTCTCTGGGTATTTTTTGTTGAGCCAGGGTCTCATCATGTTGCCCAGGCTGGTCTCGAACTCCTGGCCTCGAGCAATCCACAGATGTTGGCCTCCAAAAGTGCTGGGATCACAGTCGTCAGCCACTGCGCCAGGTCTATTCAGGTCTTTTCTATCCTTCAGAATGCAGTATTCTTCAAGTTGTTCTTGCAAATGTATTGTTTTTCATTGCTGTCAAGAACGGTATCTTTTAAAATTTGTTTTCTAATTGATTAGTATGGGTTAAGAATTCCTTATTTGAAATGATTGGGACCCGAAGTGTTTCAGACTTTGGAATATTTGCATATTTTATAAATAACAAGATATGTTGGGGATGGGACCTAAGTCTAAACACAAAATCCATTTGTTTCATATACATATAGCCTGAAGGTAGTTTTATAAAATGTTTTTAATAATTGTGTGCATGAAAACCAAGTTTTGACTGCAACCTGTCACATGAAGTCAGGTGTGGAATTTTCTACTGATGGTACAGCAGTGCTCAAAAAGCTTCAGACCGTGGGGCATTTTGGGTTTTGAATTTAGAGATTAGAAATGCACTCAATCTGTACTATTTTCCTATGCTGATATAGGTATATTTATTGTTTTGTTTTTTTCAGATGGAGTCTCACTCTGTTGCCCAGACTGGAGTGCAGGGCACAATCTTGGCTCACTGCTACCTCCACCTCCCAGTTTCAAGCGATTCTCCTGCCTCAGCCTCCTGAGCAGCTGGAACTGCAGGCACACGCCACCATACCTGGCTAATTTTTGTATTTTTAGTAGAGATGGGGTTTCACCATGTTGACCTGCCTGGTCTCAAACTCCTGACCTCAGATGATCCACGTGCCACAGTCTCCCAAAGTGCTGGGATTACAAGCATGAGCCACCGCACCCAGCCATATTTTTTTCAATAAAATTAAAACCCTGTGATTTTTCTGTTTATCTTGTCTGGCTGTCTTACTGAAGTTTATTAGTTGTGTTCTTCTTCTTTTTCAACTGATAATCTTGGATTTTCTAAGGAGATGATGACATTCGCAGCAAATGATGACAGGGGTCCATCTTTTAAAGGACAAGCAAAAAGACTAGGGAAAATATTTCTAAACTATATTAAAGACAAAATAAAATCAAGGTTTACAACATATAAAGAGTGCCAAGCCCCAGGGAGGTGGCTCACGCCTGTAATCCCAGCACTTGGGAGCCTGAAGTGGGTGAATCACTTGAGGTCAGGAGTTTGAGACTAGCCTAGCCAACATGGTGAAACCCTGTCTCAACTAAAAATAAAAAACTAGCCAGGTGTGGTGGCACACAACTGTAGCCCCAGCTACTCAGGAGGCTGAGGCAAAAGAATCGCTTGAACCCAGGAGATGAAGGTTGCACTGAGCTAAGATCACACCACTGCATTCCAGCCTGGGCGACAGAGCGAGACTTGGTCTCGGAAAAAAATAATAATAATAATAGTAATAAAGAGTGCCTACAAAATCAAAAAGGCAATCTAACAGAAAAATAGACAAAAGATAAATAACCAAGTTGTGGAAAAACTAAACCAGTGAACACTTGAAAATGATACACTTCATTAATAATAAAAATACAAAATAAAACAATGAAATGCCTTCTTCTAGCCAATGATTACAAGTAAGAAAGAACCTCTAAGCCAGGCAAGGCAGTGTGTACCTGAGTCGCAGCTACTGGAGAGGCTGAGGCAGGAGAACCCCTTGAGCCCAGAAGTTTGAAGCTAGCCTGAGCAACATAGCAAGAGCCCATCTCTTAAAAAAAGAAAGAGAAAGATAATCTCAAATGTTAGAAGAGGTATTGAGAAATGGACACGCTAGATGGGACAACAAATTGTTGTCATTGTAGAGGGCAATTCAGCATTATCTACTTAAAAATTAAATGCACATCACTTTCATCCAGAAATTCCATTTCTAGGAATCTCAATATTAGACAAGTTCTGGAATTAGACAGTAAGTTGTATTATAAAATGGCGTATGGTTAAAAAACATCTTTAAGGCTGGGTGCAGTGGCTCACGTCTGTAACCCAGCACTTTGGGAGGCTGAGGCGGGTGGATCTCAAGGTCAGGAATTCAAGACCAGCCTGGCCAACATGAAGAAACCCTGTGTCTACTAAAAATACAAAAATTAGCCAGGTGTGGTGGCGCATGCCTGTAATCCCAGCTACTCAGGAGGCTGAGGCAGGAGAATCACTTGAACCCGTGAGGCAGTGTTGTGGTAAGCTGAGATTGGGCCATTGCACTCCAGCCTTGGCAACAAGAGCAAAACTCAGTCTCAAAAAAAAAAAATCTTTAAATAGCACATAAGTTGTTCAAACGTGTATGTAGTTTATTCAAATACATGTGGTGACACATATCAATATAAACCATAATTTACTAGCCTACATATATCATGAAGAACACACAGGCAAAATAATCTTTACATTTTTAATTACGCAAGTACACTTAGTTGAATTCTAAAAAGTTAAAATGTTGCAGCAGGAAATGGTTACTGTATTTTGGAACATCCATACCTTGAAACACTGTATGTGGCTACTAAAAAAAGAATGTGTTACAGCTATACAAACTAAGATGGAAGATCTAAACTTTATTGTCAAGTTAAAACTTTAAAAGGGAGCAAAAAAGAGCAAAAAGACATTTTTACAGACACGTTAAGTACATAAAAAGATGCACATTAAAGTGTTAACTGTAGTCACACTTCTTCGACAGCAAGGTAAGGATGGCGTTAGGAAACTGACAGGGAATTTACACTGTTTACTGGATGTACTATGCTTTTACATGTTTTTAAGTCACAATTACTTAAAACTTTATAATTTTTCAAACACAAAAAAATGAGGTGACATGACATCCATTTTTTTTTTTGCAGCTTTCTAGAAGTTTCTGAAAAACATGTTTTCTGAAATATCTCTATGTTGATTTCAGCCACTGATAATCAGTTATCTGGGACTAAGTAGTGAAGGTTCACTGTGAATCAGTACCGTGAAGGCAATAAGAGAAACCAGAGGATATCTGACAATTCCAAACATTCTGGCAGAAGTATAAATACCCAGTCATTGTGACATATTTGGTTTTGTTTCGACATAAGTAAAATAGTTGAACATTGTAACAAACTTTCCACTGTTCATAAACACAATCAAAAGATTTTACTGTATTGTTAAACTAGCTTAAAAAAAAACAACCAAAAAAAGAAAAAGAAAGGTCTGCCTCTTAGAAGAACCAACTCCCTCAACTAAAAAACAAAACAAGGCCAGGATCGGTGATTCACATCTACAATCCCAACACTTTGGGGAGCCAAGGTGGGCGAATCGCTTGAGATCAGGAGTTACGGAGTTCGAGACCAGCCTGGCCGATAAGGCAAAACCCCGTCTTTCCTAAAAATACAAAAATTAACTAGGCGTAGTGGCACATGCCTATAAACCCAGCTACTTGGAAGCCTGAGGCAGGAGACTTGCTTGAAACCAAGAGGCGGAAGTTGCAGTGAGTTGAGATTGTGCCAGTATACTCCAGCCTGGGTGACTCAGGGATACGTGGTCTCAAAAAAAGAAAAAAGAAAAATTAGCCATGCGTGGTGGTGGGCGCCTGTAATCCCAACTATTAGGGAGGCTGAGGCACAATAATCACTTGAACCTGGCAGGCAGAGGTTGCAGTGGGCAGAGATACCACTGCACTCTAGCCTAGGCAACAGAGGGAAACTCTGTCTCAAGCAAAACAAAACAAAACAGCAACAAAACCATGAAAATTACCAAGAGGGTAGGATAAGGGGCCAAAGATTCTGTTAGACTGGAAAGCAACACTGTATTTCCTATGGATTAACATCTACATAAACATTAACTCCACTAATGGACAGCCTTTTCTACTCTTTATCATTTTGTTTAGTTTATCTGGCAAGGGGGATGCAAAACGAACCCAAGAAGAAATAGGGGACATGGCTAGGATATACACAATTCTCCCAACTCATAAACCACTACTGTATCGGGAAACAACGCTCTACATCCTGGCTCTCAGGGATTTCCCAATTCTGAAAATCCCACATTGCAATGGGACATATCACTTGGAATGTTACAAAAGGGATTCATTGTGTTACGTTAAAATGTAGCCCCATACATAGTAATTTTAAGTACCAGGTTAACATGAAAACAAATCCACCAACTTCAGAAGCACTTCTCTTAGACGAAGACATCAGGATGTCTTTCCTTCTATGCAACATGGTCCTGGAATAATCCTCCCAAGCAGTCATCCTTTTCAAAGACCAGAGGAAAAGCTGCCAAACATTGCACAAGGCAGAATGTGTCTGCACACTGCCTTCTAGTACACCAAGCAGTCTTATTCTAGGTTTTCCCAAAGCCAAAGTCAAGACAGCCTTCCCAGGTCTGTCTGGGCGTCTCCCCATCCAAGACTCTGAGTTTCCTGAAGCACCCTCCCAGAACCTGGTGTCCATAAAAATGCTAACAGGAGAGATGAAAGAGAGGAGACATTATCAAAAATAAATGAATCTCAGTATGACTAAAGCACAGGGTCTGCAGGAGAAAGTTGCAGATGAGACCATCTGGGCAAGGTGACACACTTAAAGGTTTTAAGCAGAATGGCAGAGTTTACGGTCCGTTCTGTGAAAGGTTACTTACTAGGCTCTCCAGAAGAGAGCAAGGACTGAAAGGCAGGCAAGGCTGGAGACGGGAAAGTGGCTTAAGGCTGAAATGGCTGCGCGGAAGCTTTGCTGGTGGCCTGAATTAGGACAGCAGCAGGGTAGAGGTAAGTCAACAGATATGAGAGATATTTGGAAGGTAGAATTGTTGAATTTGGTGACAGATTAGTTACGGAAAGGAGAGCAAGGGTTGGGAGCCTAGGTGAAGGCTGTGACTCCTAGAGAGGGGGAACACAGGGGTGTAGGTTAGATGGGGGGGATAATGGAATCATTTACCGGACACATTAACAACCAACTCGAGGTGGTGTAGACACTTGAATATCTGAATCTGGGCTTCAAGACAGAAAGTCTGGGACAAAGGACACTATCCATGGAAATGCAAGACAATGAGAAATGAAGAGGCAGGACACAGTGACAACACTATCATTTACAAACCAAATCCAGGGGGAAAGGGGAAGAGGAGAATGTAAGGGTGGGGTCGGGAGGAAGAGGAAAGTCAACCAAGTGTGGTGTCATGGAAGCCAAGGGAAGGGGACATCAAGGACGGAAAAATCCAGAATGTAACCTCCGTCAGTCCTTGGATAGTGAATTTTGTTTCTTTCCTCATACTTTATTTTCCCAGTATCCTCAGTAACATGTATTTATTATCAATCTGTTTAAGAAAATTACAAAAATCTGTTATGATAACCCTCATAAATTAAAGAGCCACAGATAATGTACTAGCCACAGGGCATGTGTTTTGAGTTTGTTTTCTGGGTCTGGTGATGGATTAGTGCTGATCTTTCTATCTGCTCCAGCCTCATGACCAATGATACACATTGCCCAGCCTCCTAGCCAAGGTCTGGGATCCCAGGAGAGCAGAGCTGGCTGACCCATACACAGATGGCCCAGTGACCTTGGGTTCATTAGCATACTGTTCTCATGAAGTGAGCTAACCAGCAACAGACCCAGCCTACTTTGTCCCACTTCCCACCACTACTGAGGCCAAAGTTCCTCAGCTCTGCACCATTTCCTATAAACAAGAGATTGCCTATAAACATTCACAGATACAGGAGGTCCAAGGCTCACCAAAAATATTTGTTCGTTGTTTCTAAATAAGATTTATGTTTACTTACAAGCTATCTGCCCTGGCGAACAGAAGTGTATCATTAATAAAAACGACAGTAGCCACTGAGCCAGCAGAGATAGCAATCAATGACCCAATGCCTGTTGTTCTGATGACATGAAAAAGGGGAGAGGGGGTGGGGAGGGGGCACAACCAAAATAAATACTT